AGTTTGGTCTGCCTACCTCTCGTCCCATAAGTCTGCCGAAATAAACACGTTAGTGACCGAAAGCATTGTTGTTGTTTCCTTACTTCGTGGAATCGCTCGAGCTGGTAAAATGCTCTTGTGACTCGAAACGCTTGGAGCGCAATTGGAACTTGTGATGTCAAGCTGCTGCTCGGTAAACCGAACTCCCCACTACTATCGGAGTCATCGTTCCGATGACTGCGATAACAGGGAGTTTTCGTAGACCGCGTTGCCCCCCTTCCGCTAAGCGTTCCGCAACGAAGTTGCTACTGCGCCTGCGCGCCGATAGCCTTAACTGTAAAGTTCCCGCTATCGTAGCGGGTTGCAGAGGGCCTTGCGGGACGGCGAAAACGATCTACGAAAACTCCCTAACAACAGCCGACATCCCGCCGACGCCTTTGCACACACATCCTATCGTTATGGGGGTATCGTTATCGGAAGTGTCAGAATGATCTACTAAAGCTCTCTGACGGCAAAGTAGCCATTTGAACGAAGCTAATGACCCAATGACTAGAAAGAAGCTACAGCACGGTGGGCTACAGCCATGACCGACGCCTTCCTTTCGTGTAAACACGCACGAGCAGTGTGCCCCACAGTAGCAGCCTACGCGACAACCGCGTTGAGCGTCGTCTGCTAGCGCGCGCCCCGCCGTTCGAGAGTTTACTCTCGTTCCCAGAGCGAGGGGGCGCTGTCGATTTTTTTTAATCCCTTCCCCTTTGTTCCTGGGAGAGGAGGGAGCGCCGTCGTCGACGTCAACGACGACGAGGGCGACGTTCGGCCCGAAAAAAAAAATGGCGAAGGGTGAAGAATCCGCGTTTGGTCGACAGATTTTTTTTTTTCACACCACCCCCGTGTGCGCCGCATTTCGTTTAGCGAAGTTGTGAAAGGCCTTCGAAAAGGAACGGTAAGGACAATGGCGACGACGAAGGCAAAGCGTGCACTGCCGCGGACGCTGGTGCGGCAGCAGGTCTCGACGCCGCGAATCGGCCAACACTTTCAGCCGGCTTGAGAAGGTGAGCGAATGAGCGGACGACGACGCCATTTTTTTTTTTCTCGTTTGGGCGAGGAGGTAGGAGAGGAACGCGACCAACTGCGCCACCCGCTGTTTCTGATCATGCGGGGTCAATCAACTCGTCACAGCGCTCGTTGGCTCTTTTCGATGTCAGAGCGGACCTTAGCGGAACTGTGCCGATCGCGCTACCGCGCCCCTTTCTCTGGGGTTCTGTCCGGCGAATATGACCTTCGAGTCCTTCGAGGAATGCAAACGCGAGCGCTCTGCCGCCTGACGTGCGCTAGCAATAATAACGGAATGCTTGGTATTCCGTCGTTTGGGTGGACTGAGATATGTCACCACCGATTTTTCGCCGTCAGATCCTTTATATCTTCGGGAACCAGCGCCTCTTGGTGGTCTAACGTGTCAAATCGTGTGCACCTGTTGTGTCGACAAGTGCGGGCGCAGCCAGACGTTGGGCTTGTGTGCTAGTTGTTCCGCGTATCTGGGCACAGTCGCTTGTCCTCACACAGATAATCGGTAGCAGGTCGATGCATCGTTCTTCTATCGACAATTGATGGTGTCCGCGCTCGAAAATGTGATTCGAACGACTGGCTCAGTTCTGACTGCGATATTAATATTCACTTAAAATGAACGTGTCCCATTTTTTTTTTTTTTTTGCCAATTTGGGGAGTAGAAAAAGCACTTGCAGAAATAAACCAAGGAACAGAGTGCAATGAAACTTCTTACTAAGGCGCCTTTACGTGGTGCATTTATCAGTCTCGAATTTCATAAATGTAAGTCTCTGGAGAAAAAAAAAATGCTAACCAAAGGAATTATGTTTTTCCTACGCGCGGGGAGGAAACCGGAAGCAATGCGCCAAGTTGACGCTTGAAAGGCTCTTGGAGATGAAAAACCTAAAGCAGACCCAGCAGATCCGAGTGTGTGTGTGAGCGCCAGCGTCCTGTGAGCGGCAGCGTCAACCAGGTGGTCCCTTTCTGTCTTCCTCCCTGGCCATACAACTAAGATTTTTGTTTGTTTTTTCGCTCTATTTTCCAGAAACATGTCGGTAAAAATTGAGCGTTATAAATGCACCACCAAGGACGCACTTGTGATAAAGTATCATTGCATTTCATTCATTGGCTTATTTGTAGGACTATTTTTTATATTTTTTTACACCCAATCAGCGCTCGCGAGTACCCTGTGGATACCCCATGTTTAATAATCCCTGACCTTTGTGAACTCAGCCGGCTGTGTCAATTTGGTTTAATAAATTAATATTTATTTAAAAATTAAATTTAATATTTTTAAATTTAAACTTAACTTTTAAACTTTGAATTTAATATTTTTTTTTAACAGAAATACTTCCCGCTAAGGGCCATCCCCGAATTTGATTTGTTTTTCGATTTTAATGCGAAGGGGGTTACCAGAAACAAGTGGTCTGGGGGCACATGTGGGGGGAATAGAGCTGTTTCGAAAAGTGCACTATTTAGTAGCTGCCTCTCCAATTATATGAGATTGCCGGTGTTTAGGCACATGCCCCGAGCATATATTAGACATAAGGGCCGCATCAGCATTTGGCGTGAACTCGGAAGGAGGCCTGGATCTGATCGCACGCGTCATGCGCAAGAGATAATCATTGCCAATATTGCTCGATAACATCTCACAAAGGGTCTATTGTAGGTTTATTCCTTCCATCCACTTGTATAGAACATTTTTGCCAGAAGTTTAATACTCTAATGCCTTATGGAACTGAATATTATTTCTTTTTCTATATCTAGGAGTTCATGTTTCTATACTATCGGGAAAATTACTTTGACAAAACCCTTTTTCAATACGTATTTTCTTGTCTTGAATTGTCAAATCGGTACAATAAAGAGAAAAATTAAAATAATTGGCTCCACTTGTGCAGGGCTTGTTTTTCTCCGAGGCATAATTTTGTGTATCACGAGGCTTGTGCCATGGGGAATAACCCCAAAAGTGTATGCTCCGTTATTGTGGGAACAATATAGTTATAGATAAGTACACCTTATCAAAATTGCTAATAATGAATGGACGAGAAGTGCAACTAATAGCTTTTGCTTTTTTGATCTACACAAGTTTCTTCCCCAGTAGAAAATAGATGGGGTAAAAATTTAATGTTACATGCAGACATATATCTTAGTTACACAGGTGCTCTTAACTACCATTGAGTCACCGACAGTTGACTCAATCACGATTAGCCGGAGTTAGACGGCGGCGCCAACTGTCATTGAGCCACTATTGACAGTTGAGTTCAACTGAGCTCCCCTACCCCAGTTCAACTGAACGGACTTCCCCAATGGAGATAAAATGGCGCCTGGCCACGGGACCGCTGCTGCCGACCATCATTTGCGAGGCACTTACTGTTTTGGAATGCAGTGGAAGGCGTCTAGAAAGAATCATAGCAGCAACATTCCGGGAAGGAATAGGTTTAGGAGTCCGAGCTGCCGCTAAAATGATCCCGGCTAGTCTGCAAGCCACCAAACGACTGAAGATGACGGAGGGACCAGCTGTATAAATGGACAAATAGTAATGGGTGCACCCATTGTGGCGGGCGGTAGCTTGAACCCACGTAGCGTAAAATATGTGCAACCTAGCCCTGAATCTGCTTTGGCACTCGTGTAAAAGCCACTAAAAAGTAACAAGGTATTGAACATATTTTACAATATGCTTATAATAAATAAAAGGTGTGTCTCCGAGTAAATTACTTTAACAATTAGACTGATCATGTGGCACAAGAACTTGTTTCGTTTCAGCTTCAACTGGGTTCTAGAGAGCCGTGTAGCACCATCTCGGTTCAGTTCAGTTCAATCACAGTTGGGGCCGAAAACTGTTGTAGACTTAAAGGGGCCCTGCAACAACTTTTTGACTGATTTTTAATTTGCACCGATCCTGAGCGCACTGAACGTAGTAACTTGATGAAACTTTTCTTTTCTCAAAATTCGCTTTATTTTAAAAGTTATAGGCAGATTAGAATTATAAAAACAAGCAAAAAATAACCTCCTCCATGACGTCGTAGGTCCTGGCTTGAGTGGCCGTGAACTAGAGGAGGGATAGTGAGCTCATCAAGCGCTCATGGCTGCCGCACTCCATGTCGACGGCTCGAGAGGGCGCCACTAAAGCACGTGTTGGATAGGCTGTATGAAGCGAGCGGTCAGTGCGGCTCGCATTGCATTTGCTGCACGATTAACGACTAATTCGGCATAGCACTTCATTGGCCACAAACGACAGCAAACACGGGGTAAATATCAGTTCAGAACGGGAGCCACTTCGCGCTGCCATACCGCCAAATGGCAAAATCGTCAGCAAAGCCCGCGCCGAAAGCCTTCGGAACGCTCGGAACCGGTCGGATCCTCGAGCCGGTATACGACTGCAGCGCCGCCGCGTACATCCGGGACCTTTCTACGCACGCCGTTCGTTGGCGCCTCATCCCACTAGCCCTTTCTAGTATGCGCCGTTTTTTCCGCCGCTTGGTGGTGGGTATGTCGACGGGTCATTTCTTGTTTCCGTACTTTATAAACTGCATTTGTTTCTTTTCTGATCTAAAATACTAAACAAAAACTACTTTCATATATAATTGAAACGGTTCGCGACACTTATATTTTGTATCTCGACTAAAAAAAAAGATTTTAGCGGTTCTGACCAGTAGTAAGCCTAGGACCAAAGACGTCACATATCGCGCGCTTTCGCCAACGCGGGTCGCCCTCGTAGGTGGAGGAGATTTCTGCGTCGTCCGGTTAAAATATGACGCAGTGATATTTAGTTACTCTCTCCGTGCCCGCTGGCTTGCCCGAACCCCAAGAGACCTGGAAACCGCAAAAAAGGTAGACGCTTTAATATGATTGCAGGGCCCCTTTAACAACAGTTCAAATTGCCCGTGTAACTAGGGTATTAGAAGCTGAAAACTCAGAAAATTCAAACTTCCATGATAACACATAAAATTGGGATTCTCTGTAAAAGAAGGGGAGGCAGTTAAAGCCTTAAAAGGGCATATGACACGAAACGTAAATGGGCAGATTGTTCTTAAATGAAATGCCCATAGGCGACTTGCATATACACCGATTTTCGTGATTTCCAGAGCTCTAGTAATTGCAGTAATCAATTTACGAATGTTGGGCATTGCACCTGGTGACCAATCAGCACTGCTCAAGTAATGGTGAATTCCACTCGTAGATCTGGAGCGCTTTCCAAAATCCGCGAGGGAGGCAAAATTCCGCTCCGTGGGACCCGCTCCGTATCGACGAGGGGAAGATAAACTTGCATTTTTGGAGCGACCTCCCCAACACCCCTCCCCACCCCTTCTCCTTCCGCCGTTCAAAATGGCCGCTGCTCGAACTTGACTAGCCCACCAACACCTCAGCCGGCTGATCTTTCCGACGACCAGTGACGACTGTCACTGCTTAGCTGCAGAAGTAACACGCGACACAGGCCGGGCGGAATTATACGTACCACGGCGCCCATGTCACAAATAGCGAAGACGTCCGCATTCGGCACCGTCACATACCTTTCGGCCGCCTCGAAGCGGCGGGGCACGGACAGCGATTGCCAGCGGTGGAGTTCAGATTGCTAGTACGACTTTAATAAACACAGAGCTAACAAACCATCACTTGCACGGTCGTTGCCTAACCACTTCTTGTTTTATTTCACGGGAAAACGCCGATGGAATGCAGTGTAAAAAGGTAAACAATCACTGGCTGCAGAATGAATAGGCCTAACCTTGCGTCTGCCTCCGGCTTTTCTGTCGTTCTTTTTTTTCGTTCTTCCTCGGTGATCACAGATGTCAGCGCTTACGATTTGCCACGCTCCACATTCCCGGCTTTTTATCCCTGATCTACGCGAGGTAGAAGCGTTCGAGCCGTCACAGTCCAGAGTAAACAACCGACGCACCCGAACAGATCCAACTCCACGACCCGACCGTGGCCCGACCGGCCCGCCGATCTCTCCTACCTCGCCGCGCATGCGCACCGCCGATTTAGACGGAAATCACGTGGGCCGCTCTGTCAATTTCCGGAGAGATCTGTGAAATCCCACAGAGCAAGTTCGGCGGAGTTTGGGGCGCTCCGTGGAGCGGGCGCTGCCAGAGATCTACGAGCGGAAGATGACCAACTTGAGCCAGATCTGCGAGCGGAATATGCGCGCTCCAAATGGAGCGCTTTTGGAGCGCTCGAGATCTGCGAGCGAAATTCACCATTAGTCACACCGTGGTGCCCATAAACCACGTGATCATAATATTTAGTTGAATGTTCTCATTCTAAGCACCCCCATGCTCGTCCAAGCTTGCCTCACCACAATACAATCACACAATCTCATCCTTCTTGACTTTTCCAGCATATACTCTTGCTTTGGTCCACTTGCTCTTTGACCTTACACCCTGCAGGTACTTGCAAGATCGTTGTGAACGATGGCGAGTTTGTCTCTGATAATTGCATGGTCGTCGTCGTCGCTACAGCTGGTTGCAAGCAGGTTGAAATCAAACATACCAGCTTCCAACGTCTTTTCATAACATCACTCTCATCGCTGCTCTGCTGTGATTAGTGTCAAGGACTCCGATGAAGCGGGCGGTGCCGTAGATGTCAACATCCTGAAACCGCATGCTTGGATCGCAGAAGGAAAATGAGGAAGCTGAAGCGCGAGACGCTGAGAAAGCCAAGTCTGTGAGCGCATGCAAGGAGGGGATGCCGAGCGTTAGGCGAACAACGTCGCTGATCCAACAAACATGGCGGCATGTTCGAATGGGGTGGATCCGACGGCATATAAATCAATTTATCCACGAAACTATTGCACCATTTTCAAAACACATTTAGCGAATATATAGCAACATACAATGGATCCTAGAAGTGTAGTTGTTTCATATTTTATTTTTGGCATGTCCTAACCCCTTTAACAACTTTTGCCATACATCAACACTGTTAATTGGAATGCAGTTACTTATATTGCTCTTTTTTTTTTTATCAGTATCCTTCTCACTATCTTTCTCTGTATGAGCATAAAGGAAAATCATATGTAACTTAGCTTGTCTTTCCTAAATGGGCTTGTTAAAAGGGGTTTCGGAGCATCTCAATCCTATTTTTTTTTTAACTGCCTGCACAAAGCGAATTAGTTTTAACTTTCTCTATGACTGGACACAAGTCGAGCTCCGTTTTTGACAATCTAGCTGATCTTATCACGAATTGAATACCATAGGTGCCATAAGTCGTGGCAGCTATGATATTCGGTATGGTCTTGTGTATGGTATACGGTGTACCGTCGTCGAGGCCGTAGTGAATGGTATCTGGTTATGTACCTTTTTTTTTAATTGTACATCAAGTATGAGAACCAAATGTCTGCCGATTCGACTCGCGACGCAACCCCGAAGTCTCTAATGCGACGTCAAATTACTGCGCGACGCAGTTTGCCTTCGCGAGTGCCTTGACTCCTTGTGCCTCATCATGAGCACGCCCCCTCTCCCCTCCGTGTTTTTGTGGCCCCACCCCTATGGCCCGCTCGGACAGGCAACCGCCAAGGACGACGCTTCTGGCGCGATGCTGTAGTGGAAGTGATCTCTGCCTTGGCCCCAAACATGTCCCCTAAGGACGGGAGGGGGTCCCCGGGTGGCCAGCCACAAAAGCACGAGGGGGGAGGGGGCGCGCGCCAGGTGGATCTTTGGGAGGAGGGCTGATGTGGGTGCCCCCCTTGTGTTGCAGATGTTGGGCGCCAAGGCAGAGTTGCAGCTCCACTCGCAGAGCCACCTGCGGGAGGCGAAGCCGTACCGGTGCGGCCAGTGTAGCAAGGCGTTTGCCAACGCGTCGTACCTGTCCCAGCACGCCCGCATCCACCTGGGCATCAAGCCGTACCGGTGCGAGATGTGTGGGCGCAAGTTCACGCAGCTGTCGCACCTGCAGCAGCACGTGCGCACCCACACGGGGGACAAGCCGTACAAGTGCCACCACCCGGACTGCAGCAAGGCCTTCTCGCAGCTGTCCAACCTCCAGTCGCACTCCCGCTGCCACCAGGCGGACAAGCCCTTCAAGTGCAACTCGTGCTACAAGTGCTTTTCGGACGAGGGCTCCCTGCTCGAGCACATCCCGCGCCACCGCGACTCCAAGCACCTTAAGACGCACATCTGCCACCTGTGCGGAAAGAGCTACACCCAGGAGACCTACCTCGTCAAGCACATGCACAAGCACGCCGACCGGGCCGCCGCCCTTACCGCCCGGGCGTCCCCACCAGAGGCCTCGGAGGCGGCTTTCTGGCAGCAGAAGGCCCCAGAGGGGCTGGACGAAGGGGACCACTCCCCACCAGACTGCCAGCTGCAGGCTGGGGCGGGCTGCGACTCGAGGTTGCAACACCTGGCCATACGGGGCTCTCTGGCCGACGACCCCTACGGACCGGACTCCCCCACGGCGGGTGTGAACGCGGCGACGACGACGGCGGCGGCCAAGGGGGCGACCTCAGCCTTCACCCCGATTCAGTCAAGTAACCAGGGGTCCAATGCGGGGCGCGGGGGCACGGCCTACTTCCAGTACGACCCCTTCCCGGCGGCGGCCAAGCAGCCCCAGCAAGCGCAGGAGCAGAAGGGCTCCTCCTTCCCCAGCCAGCTCATCTCTCTGCACCAGATCAGGAGCTTCGCCTCAATGCCCAGTATGGCGGCGGACCAACACCACCCCATTACGCTCGGCGGCAAGGACGCCAGCAAGCAGTAGCGCAGACCGGACCCTCGTGTGCCGTCACGCCCGGCGTCAAACGTCGGGGGTCTCCCTCTCCCCCCTCGTCGTCCTTGTGTGCGGTTGTCTGTCTTCAAAAGGCATCTTCCCTCCCCCGCCCTCTCCATCTCTGGTCTGGAACCTACGTGCGTGTCTTGGCGTCGTGCTCGTCCGGCTGACTCGGGGCCATGCTGCGGCCCCGACGGATGTGAGAGACGCCACTTCCCTCGATGCCACGGTGCCGGGGACATTTGGCCACAGACAGTGTGGAACGGGGGAAATGGGTGCTAGGCATAGAGGAAAAAGGGATGGCTTTAGGGCAAGACCGGTATTCTTGGCCATACTGATCTGTACATGGTGCCGAATTGAATATGGGAAAGTATGGAAACTGGTCATCCGAACAAGTATAGCCTTTTTTATTTAAGTAATGGTAACCAAAACAATCGTCCATTCGCCCATTGGGTTTATCCTTCCCATAAAGAACCGTTCACCTGAGCATTCTTTTTTGTTCAGAATACTCGGGTTTTGGCAAGCGAAGCAAGCCCCTATAGCTACAAATCCACCCCTTTTGGAAAAATGTGTAATCATATTGGCATCAAGTTTTTAATTTTTCTTTTACCAGTGCATATTTCTGTTTTCCACCGTCTTGCCTGGCAACCCTTTTACTTTCTGTGACCACAGGTAGCACCGTGTCCTTCGCTACATCCCTTTGGGCTGCAGCATGAGTTTTGGTCCAGTTGGCCATGGTTGTGTTGGAGGCGAGGCGTAGTGTTGTTCGACTTGTGTTCATTTGGGTCAGTGGGTCGCACGGGGTGTGCCTTGAGGTTGTTGTCGACAGTCCGGGGTCCCGCGGTTCAGACAGATCTGCTCAGCGCTGTCCCTTTCTGGTTTTCCCCTCCTCTTCAGGCCTTGTCGTTGAGTTGCTCTCTGCTCTATCTTTGTTACCAGGCCCGCTCATCTGACAGTGTTGATGTCATCTGGCCACCCCAGGGGCAACCACCAAGATGCATCTGTTTCGCACTGCTCCCATTTTATTTCATTATGAGATCAACTTGTTTCAATGCTGGTGGTGTGTCAGAGGCATTCAATTCCCATTTTCGGAAGTTTAAATTGTTTTAAAATGTGTGTTTGAATCAAGAGCAAAGGTTCACACGTAATAAAACGGCGAATAGAACAGAAGAAGAAAGAGCTCTTTCTTCACTTGCTGTGTTGGTCATTTTGACTTAAAGGTAAAGCAACGAATAGAGCACTAAACAGACTAAATTTACACCGATGTTCACGAATAGATTGGGTTCAGATGAATGGTAATGAAGGCAGGATGCTTTCAAGCTTCTCCCTTTGAGCGAGTGAATGAACAAGGACGATGCAAATTTAGTGGTGCTCTTGGGGTTGTCGGAACAGTGATGGGCTATTCTTCGTGTCTGTCTTGACAGTGGTGCAATCGTCCGTAGTTGCCTTCTTCCTCTCCTCTCTGGGTGCAATGGTGCCAGCCTCTGGCCTTGCGCTTGTGCCTTGCAAGGTTGTTTGCCCCCGGGCTAACTATACCCAGCACTGATCCATTGGCGGCAATCGCGTGGAGTAGCGGCACAGAATTCGCTCAGCAGTGGCATGAACGTCTCGAAGGGTGTCGACCATTTGGGGAAAATCCTGGAATTGATGGAAACTTGGCCATAAAGTGACCATACTGGTCACCGTTTGGTAACTTCTGTACAGTTGTGGTAATTGCATGGAGCTGTTGTAAAAGGTTCCGGCTTGCTAGAAATCTCACCAGGAAAAAATATGTCCTGGATGCCCCGGCTTAATTTGGACATTTCACGAGAAACGGCAAGAAAAGAACTGTAAAATTGGAGGACTGTACGGTTTTCACAATGGCAGACACACTGCTCTTGGTCTTGGTAGGGTTACAAATTTCGTGCCTTTCAGAAGGAGCTGTGCCTAAGCGTCTCTTGAATGAGCGCCGAGGCAGAAGCAAAGCTGATGACACCGACTCAGTAGACAAGTCATTTTGAAGAAAATGATTCTGCCCAGTACTGGAGCCTAGATCAGGACACTTGGATCTTTGAATGCTCGAGTAACCTGAGGTTGGCACCCCGTCTTCACATATTGATGTCTTTCCTGTGCCATTTTCCTTCTCCCCCTCTTATGCCCTGTTGGCAGCACCTGTTTGTTCGTCTCTGTAGCCCCCTGGGTGAAGTGTGTTTGTGAGTGGATAGGTGTGCTTGCTTTCTTTCTTTTTTTTTTTTTTTTTTTTGTTATTATTTCTGGGTATTGGCAACACGTCCCTGGTGATGTTCGAGATGCTATAAAGAGGTCTTTTCTCAAGCGAGGCGGAATCGGTCGTACCTGCTGTCACGACTGTGGCAAATGGACAATAGAAAAATTTGTTTTTGTCTATTTGCACGGAAAAAAGAAAAAAAGATGCGCTGCAATGATTGCCGCTATTTTGTGAATGCTGCAGCGTCTCTGGACGAGTGCGTTGGACGCTGTTCTTCCATTGTGCCATGCAGAAGTTTAGGGGAAGTTGGTCGAAGGCGGTCTCTTCGAAGTGCTTTAGTGCTCGCAAGAATGGCGGCCGAATGGGGATTGTGAATTTGGTTTTTAAATGGCTCCGGGTGACTTCCCAAGAACGAGGGGCATGCTTGGACGTAGGAAGTTCACTTTTGGAGCTAGGACACCACCAGTTTTGCGCCATTTTATTTCTTTTTATTTGTTTGTGAGGTTTTTAGTGTGTTATCCATCGAGGCAAGTAAAAAGCATTCGTTGTTCGTCTTATGTTTTTCGCATTTGTTTTAACTTGTGCATGTTTTATGTTGACTTTGGTGACCACCGACCCGACGCCACGACAGTGTTTGCTTTTGGGTTAGGTTTCCAGTTTCAAAACATTGAGGCACCGCTGCGTGTACGGCCTTTAACGCGAATTTTCTTAAATGGCGTTTTAAAGGGATACTGGACCGAAATTTGGATTTCGCAAAATAAGGCCGCAGAAGGGTTGAACGGGATGCTACGAACTCCAAAACATCACTCGTACATCGATATCTGAAACGAATGGCCATATTTTTGGAAAAGGAGGGCGCGATCAAGTGAGGACTCTGACGTCACGATCCCCCTGGAACACTTAAGAAGGAGGGGAGTGGCATCGCATCTCTCCTCCTCTCTTCGGTTGACCAGCTCGACGAGACGAAGCGAGGAGGAGAGGGAATGAGTCGTGACGTCACATGTCTCGTCGGCCGTTAGAGACACACCGTGGTTAGAGATATGGTTGTATGAGTGGTGTTTTGAAGTTCTGCAGGGTCCCGCCTATCGCTCCAGCCCTGTTTTGCGAGCTCGAAATTTCGGTTCAGTATTCTTTTAATGCAGACATTTCTTTCCGCATCTTAAATTTTGTCATCAATTAAAAAAAAACATTTGAAGATCTTTTAAATATTTTTTTAATGTTTTCTCAGGGAAAATCTGGCTTTACGTATATGGTTCAGATTGGCGAACCGACGTTTTATTTGTGTTTGTTTTTTTAGCGACTCATGATTCATCTGGGCTAGCGCGCTTAGTTTTGCTGCTGTTTGCTCCCTGTGGAACTTCGTGAAAGCAGCATCGCGGCCCCTGTAAATTGACATAAGACGAACAGGCACCATCATTTCCGAGTTTGTTGGTGGTGTTGTTTCTTACCGTTCCAGCAGAGTCAAGCTGGTCTTCACCGTATAGAAAAAGCCATCTCTCACTTTTCACGTGTTGCGACTGTGTGTGTGCGTGTGTGTGTGAGCGCGCGCGTGCTTGACGTGGAGACTGGCGTGGGGGTCATGGAATGATTGTGTTCCCACTCATACTTTCGTTTCTTTGTCGAAATAAAAATTTCTGACGCACCGACACTTTATTTTGTTTTGCTTACCTTCGATCCTGGAAAAGTTTTACCTTTGATTGCCCTAACTCCTTGGGAGGCCCAATGTCCTTCCGTTCGGAGTGACGATATTCTTTGTAGTACCCGATGCGGACAGCACGTGGCAAATACGAATTGTCGGGAGAAAACAAATTCCGCCGTAGCACAGTAACCGCCAGGAGCTCGTGTCGGGAAGCGGGCCTTTACGTGCTCCAGAGCACAAAAAGGAAAAGAAGCGTTCTGAACAAAATGGTCAGGTATTATCTCCATATAGTGGCACGTTTACACTTGCGGATTCGCAGGCGGAAAGTGCGGATTTCGGAGCCGGGTGGCGGCATCGACTCGTCGCTGATGGGAAATCTGGATCCGTTCGGGACCCATATCCAGGTTTTTCGCCAGCGACGAGTCGATTTCGCCACCTGGAAATCCACTTTCCGACGGCGCGGATCCGCCCGCGAATCCGCAAGTGTGAACGCGCCGTTAGCAAAGTGCACATGAAGGCACCTTATACCCTAACCGTGAGCCTGCCCGCAAAAGTTGTCTCCGTGTAAGTACGGGGCTCGGAATGGCGTCTTCGGCTGGTATATTTAGCGCCCGTACATGGAATATGGCCCCGAGCTGGCGATAGAGTAGTGGGGAGCTTTAGTACATCGCGTCCAATAACGATACGATTTATGCTCAAAAGCACCCAAGTATCGTGTATCGTCGGCGTTATCGGAACGATCCGCTAAAACTCCCCAGTGGGACAGGCGCCAACGTGCCATGCTGTCGGGTGTCGCGAGCCTGGCGGTTGGTCCAAGTTCCGACTATGCTCCGTTCGTGGTTCACACATTTGCGATGGTGGCGTTCACAGTAACCAGACGGACAAAAACGACCAGAACACGAAAAACCATGACTCACGTTTGCTTCGCGAAGCTACCTTTCGCATCGCTTGCCACGTGTACGGCGAACACTTTGTCCCGATGACTTTGTCATTTCGCTCGCTGTGAACGCAACCGACGCAAATATGTGAAGTTCACTAGTACTATATTGTCATCACACACCTTCAAAATGACATACAAGCGGTATCTGAAAGTTGCGACTTGTGGCAAATGTCTCTTAATACTAATACATGTAAAGTTGTGAAAAACTATAGCCGAATCTTTAAATCTTCCATTTGCTCATCTTCTGGCATTGGTGCTAAATCTGTAACCTGCTACAAGGACCTTGGTGTTGACACAACTTCTAACGTGACAAGGAAAACGCTTACTGATCACATTATCGCTATCGCTAATTCTATGCTTGGTTACTATAGCATAAATTTAATGTTAACCCCAGTGCCTTTAAAGTTACTAATGTATAAAGCTCTTGTCCGTTCCAAACCAATCGGGGATCCAGGTCTCAGAACTCTGGTGGCTGACCTTGAGACCCTAGAGAATCGCGGCGCCCCTTTTATATTCACTATTATCGCACAGCTAGTGTCTCAACTAGTGACAACTAATTTATCACTTCCTCCTTTCATTACGCCCAAAATGGTCTCGTCTGTTTTTTTTTTTCTATAAAATGTATCATTCCAATACTTCACCGAAAGACAAACTTACGTTAAATCCAGCTTTCATTTCACCGCTCGTAGATAATCAATTTAAAATCCTAATTCCTCATTGCGTTACTTCAGCTTTTAACTTATAACTCATTCATCATCAGAACATCCTCCGAGTGGAACCACCTTCCTGCACATTTAGTAAGCATACCATCTTTTGACTTATTAAAAGGAAAAAAAAAAAAGGGGGGGGGGGGGGGTGATGCTTACTTATTTTTGTATTATAACCTCTATTTGCTTTGTTCTATAATTGCGTAACTTGCTTACAGACTTTTATGTATTTGAGTTGTTTACTACTTGACTTACAGTGTATGTATGTTCCTGTGTGTTCTATTTTTGTTTCTCCCACTCCACTGTGTAATAATGCCTTCGGGCCTTTAGGAAACTGACATAAATCAGTAAATATTGAAATATGAAACCAGCAATGCTTTCGCATTCCGATGTAGTCTGCCGAGAAGTACCGCAAACGTACAAGCCTCTTTTTTTTTCTTTTTTTTTTCTTTTTTTTTTTTTAATAGATTAATTGAAGAACGTATTGGAAAGCCGGGGAGCCACCCATACTGATCGTGACATCTAGGCCGTACACTTTTCGATTTTTGAAAACGCCGATAATCATCCGTTGGTGACAAAACAGAAAAAAATACGAAATGGGTTAAAACTGAAAAAGCAACGATAAACACTCGTTTGCGTCAAAAATACTAAATCGCTTAAAGGGACACTGACAGTGTACTTATGCTCGCCAAGGTTTTTATTTGTACATGAGATATGAGAGCCCAACCACCCAGAACACAATCTGCGGCCCGAAATTCGTTTTTCTTTTTCCGCCCGAAAATCGGCGATCAAGAACTGGCCGGCATTGAGTCGCGCTCACTCTCTTCTCCGTGGTCACGTGCCGTTTTTATGGTTTAGACACAACCACCGAATATTATCATCGTCGTGGGCCATCGAAGGCACACACTCGGTATTAAAAATAGAAATGAAATATAATACCAATTTGTTGTGGCTTATAAAAGGCTGAAAATACGTTGATTGAAGAAAAAAAAAAAAAGAAAAAGAAAGTTGCACAACCACGCGAGTTTCGCCAAGCCTCTCCTTCTCTATATTTCTTCTTCCTGCCCAGTCCAGTTTCATTTCGAGCAGTCGCGTTTTCTTTTTCTTTTTTCTTTTTTTACTTAAAAATATACGTGACATTGTAGCAAAATATTGATTGGGTAGTCTTCTGACAACCATAATAAATCGCCTGGCAACAAATAAAAAAAAATGCAGAGATGGGCAGTATTTCCAATACCAGTATTTGAAATACGTATTTCAAATACTTTGAGTATTTTGCATTTGTATTTAATTACAAATTGGGTAATGTATTTGACGTGTGTATTTAAATACTAAAACGTGGGTACTTTAAATACAATTGTAATTAAATAAAATTTTATGGGCGAAAATACATCTTGTTTTTATGCATGTGGTTGTAAGATATAGTCTCCATCCTTTGTTCGGCCATGGGGCTTTTTTTTCTTTTTCTCCTCCGGCTTTATTTCAAAGGCACTGACCACAGCAGGAAGAAAACTACGTTCTGCACCGAATGCAGTGTCTCTCAATCAAGCACAAGCGTTTAGTGACTTTGTGATTACGGTGCTAGTCCAGGGCAGGAATGGTGACGAAATCGACTTTCACAGGCGGACTGGCTAAGTAACTGCCTGTGACAACTTGTAATGCTTTCCAGCCTGATTTCCATCCATATTTTTGCCTGGAACATTCTAAATGCGCGGGTCGTCCAGATTTTCGTAACTGGCGCGAGTTGCACCAATAAAACATTCTCTAGCTAGTGCTGCGCGTCTTGGTCGTCTCGGTTCTTTGTTGGTCTATACCAAAATGTAATCCACAAAAAAAGCTGCGTGAAGCTATAATTTTTTCACCTATTACATCCAAGCTGATTACATTTTTTTATTATATTTCAATTACGTTAGTAGAGCCTCGCACACTAACTCCCGAGTGTGCGATGGAAAATTAAGATGAGATACCCAGAAACTTGTTGCAGGTGCCCTCAAGTCGCTGACGCAAATTTTGAGGAATGTATTTGGAAAAGTATTTGGAGGAGACCAAATACATTTGGTTGTATTTGTATCTTGTACTTAAATGCTTTTTTGGAAATGTAATTAGATTTGTAATTAAATACATTTTTGACGAAGTATTTTGTATTTGTATTTCGACACATATTTGCATGTTTTTTGCCCATCCCCGAATAAAAAAAAATGTAAGGAGGTTTTCGTCTTAAAGAAAGACGAAAAAAAAAGTCGATTCCTGGAATTTTGTTTTTTCAGCTAGGGCTTTTTGTCAAAACCGCCACATTTTTGGACTTGAAATCTTTGTATGTGTTTTCTTAATAACAAATTTTCACTCATAATGAACGTGTTATGGGTATGTCCGAAACAGGTAATCGACATACACCGATATTGTTAAAAGAAATTAGCATTGAAAAGCATCCGCCGATTTCCCTTATGAGCGAACACCGAAAATACTATCGTCTGGTGATTTCCCATCATCTTTCACTGAAAACCCTTCTCTTCGTTATTTATTTTACTTTGCCTTATCATGTTATCACAGACAGAACGGCTGTCAGACTTGCAGTTTCGTTTTATTCCATGGGTGTATATATTCAAATTTTAGTGACACTTGAAAAGGTAGATGACCTGAGCATTTCACTTCTTATATCTGGTTCGCATATTTTGTTTGGAACGATAATGACGAAAGAGGCTGTAGTTATTGTTGCATACAAATAGCGCTTTGTTTCTTCTCAGTGTTCGACCGTGTTCAAACAAGAACGCCGGCGTTCGCAGTTCGAGGGCGTTCGATGAGTGGGTAGAGGCAAATGCAGCTAGCTTTGTGTCTACCCATTAACCCTTCCGCTCAGAGCTCGTTGTCCTGACTCTTCTCCCCTCCCTCACTTTCCACCTTCATAAAACAAATTCTCCAACAATGGGGTCACGCGCGTTCGAGAGTTAGGCTGGCTGAAGATATGCCACAATGCCGCTCTCCTAATGCCCATAAAATCGCATCCTTTAGCTGGTGTGGGGTGGGCTCGCGATCTGAAAATGTCAGAGCTCTCTGCATGCGCCCTTTCGAAGACGAGTTCCAAGCCGAAAACACCAAGGAAAATGGCAAATACAACAGCGCAAGGCGGCTACGTGACTGCAGTATGGCAAAGCACACGGGGGCTGTACCGAAAGTGGAGGTTTTCCTCCCCCCCAACTCCATTCCGCCCAAAAACTTTTTTTTTCCCTCTGCGGGGAGAGCTGGGGGGGAGGGGGGGGGGGGTTCGTTTGCTTCCGTTCTTGAACAGAGCTTGGAACGCGTGCTCATCACGTGGGTCCGGACATTCACACGCTCTGCTGGCTGTTCTCAAGGCCCTCCG